GTGTGTCAAACTCTGTACTAAGATTTTCTGTACGCTGTCTCATTCAATCCTCTCCATTCACTATTAAGGGAATACTATCATAATCCATTTCACAGATTAAGTCAAGACATTTCCCCAACTAACAGTGAAAAACTGGCAAAACTGGAACCTGACCAAGAAACCGTACTCTTAACTATACGTGCACTATAATTTATAAACTTGCCCAAATTTGACCTCAAGGTTACTAGTCTATGATTTACAAAACTCACCTGTCCTTTATTAGAAAGTCAAAATTTTGCCCATCTCCTTTATTTCTGCATGTCTTTTCTCTCCCCAAGACACAAAGATCCTCAACACTATTTCACATGCAAGCTCCTTCCAGCCCAAGGAACATAATTCAAGCAAGAGAAGTGAACTAAATGACCCACCTAACCCTCTCTCTATGAAGGACTTCCTTTTGCAATGCCCACTGGTCACTCTATTTGCCCTGCTGGCCCCTCCGCCTTGCCTTCACACTCCACGTAATGAAGCTGCCTCATTCTTACAGTATTGACCTTTGATCACATTAGCTTTCCTGGAACTTTTTTTTTTTAATTATTACCTACAGTTCTTTTTTTTTTTTTAATGTGGACCATTGTTTCTGTTTGGGTTTTCGGGTGAGAGGCATGTGGAATCTTAGCTCCTTGACCAGGGATTGAACCTGTAACCCCTGCACTGGAAGGTGATGTCTTAGCCACTGGATCACCAAGGAAGGCCCTCCTGGCATGATTCTTAAAAGTTGGTGCCATCAACTATATATATGCCAATGATTTATTTATTTATTTATTTTTTAATGCCAATGATTTAAAAATAAAGCTTGTGTCACCCTCATAGACTCACTTTCAGCAACGCACCCTTCTCTTTTTGAGAATCTGAGTTTAGACTGCTTTCAGTGGGAGCACACCAGGTCCTGCAGGGGCCTCCTCTTTTTTTCTAGTTACGATCCCTTCTCCAAACTACCTTTTCGCTTTCTAGGTCTTTAGAGACTTCTTTCTCCCAGTCTGATGACATGGAATAATATCTAGTCCCTAAACTGCTCAACATCTTCCTCCTTAAAAACTTGGTATCAGGAACTCTAAAATTTCAAGGTCCTTTTCTCCCAGTGGAAGTATTTTGGACTTGCCAACTAATTATTTCCTACTGTAACAGTTAGGTCCAGAGTAGCAGTTTGCATTCCACTTCCTCAATCTAACAGGTGATGACAAGGGTCAGCACCATTTCTTTTTAGAGAAATGCAACCTGCAGGTGGCTAAGTAACTGATCTTACCGCAACCTAATCTGATGCCACGGCTGTTATAATTACTATTTCCCTGGCTCCAGTCTGGCCTCCATTATCAATCCTTAACAAAGATGCTACAGCCTGTTTTCTAGGCCCCAAATCTCATCACATCACTTACCTGCTCAAAAATCTCCCCTGCTAAAATAAACTATATACTAAAATCCTAGGCATAGTTTTAGAAAGCAATAATCTGGCCCCAACCAGTGTTTACTATTTTATCTTTGACTAAATCCCCATTAGCACCTGGGACAGAATCTTGCATAATCCACCCTAAGCACCAGCTGTAAGCCACTATCATGTCCATGCCTCAAGTGTGCCCCTACTGTTCTCCGCACTGGTAATCACCTTCATCATCTCTTCCCTTTGGAAAAATCCTACTCCATCTTTACTGTCTGACTTAAATGACGCTTCTGCTATAAAATCATCCCCAAATTCTACTGCTGCCCCAACAACGCAGAATTAACTCTCTTTCAGCTGGATTCCCATAATGGATTCCTACCATTTATTGTGGTTCCATATCATACAGTCATTTGTTTACACCCCTCTCCTGTGTGTGCGTTAGTTGCTCAGTCGTGTCCAACTGTTTGCGATCCCTATGGACTGTAGCCCACTAGGCTTCTCTGTCCATAGAATTCTCCAGGCAAGAATACTGGAGTGGACTGCCATTCCCTTCTCCATAGGAACTTCCTAACCCTGAAGTCCCCCTCGGACCAGGGACTGAACCCTGGTCTCCTGCATCACAGGCTGATTCTTTACCATTTGATCTACAGGGAAGTCCTCTCCTCCTAGTTCTATGTATCTATCCGGGGCAAAAACTGTATCTTATTTCAGTGTTTATCAAACATTAGGACCCAATCCATCACAAATGGATAAATCATTCAGTGAGCCACACAAGTTATTTAATAGATTAGAACAGAAGACATCAGAGGCCACTGAGCAAAACAATAATTAGTATCATTTTGAGAAACTTAGTTACATGTATATATAATGGGTTATGACAAAATACATTTCTTACTGTGAGTTGAAGTTAAGTCTGAAAAACTCTTAACTTTTATCTCCAGTGCATACTGCCTAATACACAGCAAGGCCTCAATGGCTAAGACTCAGTGCTCCCAATGCAGGGGGTCTGGGTTTGAACCCTGGCCAGGAAACTAGATCCCACACGCTGCAACTAAGACCCAGCAGAGCCCAATAAATAAATAAAAAAATTTTTAAAAGAGAAAGTGGTTGCAGAGGTAAAGTATGTGAGAGTCCACGCTGAGAACACATTATCACCCTCTCCTTACGGCCAGACACGCTTTAGTGTGCCCCCACAGTCACGTCACTTCTGTCCCTGTCTCCTCATCTGCAATAACCAACCTTCTCACTGGGAAAATTCAGTCACTGCCATAGAGGATTATAGCCTTTGAATCCGGTCAGTCTTTTAAATTGTCTAACCTTCCAATGCTAATGTTCCTTCCGAAGTTTTACCTGCTTGAAACTTCTGTACCATGCAAGAAAACTCCGTCCTATTACTCTGCTCTCTTTCAAGGTATGAGCCTATTACTTCTCCTCCATCCCCAAGTTTTTAAAAACAAGAATCAACTCTGCCTCCATTCCATCTCCCACATCTTCCTAAACGGTAATTAGCTTCTGTTCAAGTTGCTAAGGAATCCCAAGTTGCCCAAAAAGCGAGTGGCCCTTTCTCAGTTCTGAGCCTCAACTGCTCCACAGCTGCTTCTGTGGAAGGCGGCACTAACCTGTATGCTCCTTCACCTCTACTGAACACGTACATGGAAAGCACTTGAAATCAGGCCTAGCTTACAGCTAGCAGATGTAACCGTTAGCTGTATGTTATCACTCATTCCTCCTCTTATCCCTGAGAGAGCGATTACTAGGCAAGATTCCGTCCTCAGCGGCTTCCTTTTCTTCGCCTCCCACTTTCTCCCTGGGTCTTATCATCTACCCACAAGGCTTTGATTAGCTTACCTGTAGGAGTATTATAAATCCCTCTCATAAGTACAAACCTCTCTCCTAAATCCCAGGTCAACACTTGACATACCCAATGTTAACTGTCTTTTCCATATGTTCTTAAATGTTTATGAATAGCACCAAGATCGAGTCCCAACCCATCATTTTTCACTCCCCTCTCTTCCTCACCACCAGCACCACCACCACCACCATGATAAGCAATCAATTTTCAAACTGTCAACTCTACATTCTCTATGTCTTTTCTTCCCATTTTCTAGTTCAGATCTTCTGTATCCCTCACCTACCCTAGCCCTCTAAGCTGGTTTCACCACTTCCAAGACTCCACCCCACACTGTTGTCAGATAAACCTTTTTTTAAAATAATCATAGCTCTGACTGAGTTACTTAACAGGTCAAAAGCTTTTACCGCATTTGCTCTACTTTCCTTAAAAAGCAACACTTCTCAGCTGTACATTCAAGAGCCCCCACAGACCAGACAGCAACAACCCTCTCTTCACCTTCTCACATCATTCACAGTACCCACAACCCAGCCAAACAGGAAAATACCTTTAGGATTCATTTCACTGACACCTTAGCGCAAACATATTCCTAAGAAGCATTCTTCCCAATATTTTCAACATTTTGCCAGTCTTAGATATCCACTCAAAACTGCAAATCCTCCACAGGTTTTGTTTTTCTTTCTGGATTACCTTTCTTGCTCTGCCCCAAAGATATTCACTCCCTCTTTTAGATGTTCTTAGCCCTTTGCTGTTGTTTAGTGGCCAGTCATGTCTGACTCTTTCGTGATCCCATGGATTGGCATTTCCCAGGCAAGAATACTGAAGTGAGTTGCTATTTCCTTCTCCAGGGGATCTTCCCTACCCAGGGATCGAACCTGAGTCTTCTGCATTGCAGGCGGATTCTCTCTCTACCGCTCAGCCACCAGGGAAGCCCTTAAAAGCAAAAACCACTCCTTAAAAAGCTTTATAGTCCTTAGGAGCGTCAGTCTATCTTCTGAATTTAATTTTTTTAAAAACAGAAACAAACATATTAAGTCACTTAGAAGTTCTTGAAAACCTGACATCCTTAGGCTATGATGCTAAACGTTACCTGATGAAAACCCAGAAAGACCTACAGTTTTTAAAGAGATTGAGTAAAGAGTGGGGAAGAAATGAATCAGAGTGTATGACAAGAGAAAACGGCCTTCCAGCTCACTGCTCAGTGTTTGACACAGCGTCCCTGCTAAGTAACATAAAGTCAAGGCAACTGGATTCCAGCGCCAACTGTACCATTTACTTGCTTAGCGCCTTCAGGTCAGCAGCCTCTGAGAGTTTTTCATTTACTCAATGAGACACTGCTACTACAAAACACACAAGTTCCCCTCCTTAGGCACCCATGTTTCACCAAACCCTGACAAGTGCTCAGAGCCTCCCCTCACTTCCTAGGTTCCCGCCCCAGCGTAATTCTGGTCCTGTTCTGGGCTCCTGCAGCACCTGGGACCCCTGTATTCGAAAGTAACTCGCAAACTACCTGTCCCTGTCGTTCCACAACTGAACTGCAAAGCACACCCGAAGAAAGCGACGCACTCCGCTCGGGCAGAAGCCCGGCTTCCCGCCCCAGTCGCCGCTCCAGACCGAGGTGCCCACAGATTCGTCCAGAGCCGGGTCCCTGAGGCTGCAGGCGCGTCCCCTCCGCCTGGGCCCCTACTTTCCAGGACCGAAGCTTCCCCCGAACGCAGCCACAGCCCTCCTCACCCAGCAACTCGAGGTTCATGCCTGAGGACTAAGGCCGCCCGGCCTCGGCTCACCGACGACACCCGCGCCCGCGCCCGCCCGCGAGGCCCGCGTCCGAGTGGGGGGCGCCGCAGAGCGCCGGCGCAGGCCCTGGAGACTCCCTGCCTCAAAGGACCCCGCGGCTTCCGCCGCCTGCCCTCGCTTCCGCCTTCGTTTCCGGCGGGCTGTCCACGAATATGCCTAACCAAAAAGAAGACGGATCACCCTCGGAACCACTTGACTGTGGTATTTTTTAAGGAACGAAAATGCTGTCGTCACTCGGTTTTTCCCACGTGCCAGAGTTTGGGGCTGTCCCCGCGAGGCGCGAGGTAAGTGAGTTAGACGGTTCAGGCACGGACTTAGACGACTCACCCGCCCTTGCTATGTGCTCCGCGCGCCGTCCCGGCGGGGTGCCTCGGCCGCGACTGAAAGGTTCCGACTGGGTGCCGCTGAAGTAAAGGCGCCCGCGGGACAGGTCCGTCCCAGAGCTTGCGGTGGGTCTCACGGCGGTCAAGGCGGTACTCAGCCCGTGCGCGCGCTGCTTGTCGGGTACCTGTCTCAGTCTGGAAAGTTATTTCACGTTTGTAAAGGTATGTGTCGATCCCACGGAAACGTCCAGTGGCATTTATCCAAGGATCTACCCTGTACCCAGCTCTCGCCAGGACGCCGAAAGTGAATGGGAATGAGAGGTGACTGCGTTCCCTGGAGCTCAACCAGGCGGGGCTGTGATGAGATGCCCGAAGCAACGACAGAACGGTTGATGTAACTAGCAAATGGGCAAATTCTATATAAATGAGCTTTGACTATGGGTGCTGTGGGCAATCATAAAAAAAAAAAAAGCCAAGATGGGCATAAGTGGCTGCAAGGAAAAAAAAAAAAAGGACTGAAGCTAGATCCTCTTATCTAGATTTAAAACCAGTCATCCCAGCTTCACTCTTATTACTAACTTACCCTTTGGGCAGTATTTTGTCCTCGGTGCCTCAGTCTTGTTATATGTAAAATGGGGGTGGTGCTTACAGGGTTATTGTGAAGATTAAGTGAATTAACACATATAAAGTACTTAGAACAGCAAATGCCTACTAAATGTTAACTATTACTACTTTTCCCTAAATTATTTCACTTCCTTGAGACTGTTAAGGTAGCTAGTGGCTCCATTTGACCAAGTGCAGTAATTGAGGCCCAGAGAAATTGGGCATGTTAAAGAAAAAACCATGGGCCCAAAACAGCATCACTTGTACTAAAGCCGCAGATAACTGAATCTAGATCTAATACCTGACCTAAGTGCTGTCTCAGCCTTCCCCAGAAACGTAGTCTTTATCGGCTTATCTGGCTTATCTGAAGTTTTCTGGTCCGCACCGGCGAGGTAATTCTCTCCTGGGCCCTCTCCACTCCAGCCTCCACCCCAAACTCCCCCTGAAGGAGCAATCTGCATGATAAAACCCCTGCCACTTCCTTCCTCTCTGAAAGGAGGTTTCTTGGCCTAAAAATTATCCTTTCTTTTCTTCTGCTAATAGCTCCTTACCCCACCCTTCTTCCTGTAAGAAGCTTCTGAAATGGCAATCCACTCCAGTACTCCTGTCTAGAAAATCCCATGGGTGGAGGAGCCTGATGGGCTACACGACTGAGCTACTTCACTTTCTTTGTATTTTGTAGTGCCCTTCTGTTTACTAGATGGGATGTTACCCATCTAGTTTAATAATGCCAATTAGATCTTCAAATTTAGTGGGTTGGATTTTGGTTTTTAACAGGCAGGTTGCATTCCTTCACATATCCAAAACATTGCCAAAATGTCATCCAAAATATTTTACTATTAACAATGACTGTAGGAGTATTTCTGCACACCCTTGTAATCATTCGTTATTAATCTGTCCTCTGAAACTCTTGTCAGTTGGGGATAGGTGAAAAAATGTCATGGTTACATTTATTTCTTAATGAGGATGATCATCAGTTTTTCACATGTACAAATGTGTGTTTTCCTCTTCTGTGAGGTGATCTGTGCATATCCTTCACCTATTTTTTTGGATGGAGTATTCATCTTGTAGGATTTTTAGGCAAGGATAGTCTGATCAGATTGATGTTTAAGAAAGAAAATAAGGACAGTGTGGAGTAGGGATTGATTAGAATGGTGGAGAGTAGTCAGGAGATTACTGTAGCAATTTTGTAGAAATGAGGAAGACTTACTTAACTCAGAGTCACAGTGGAGGAAAGAGAAGGCAATGCATTCAGGAGAGAGGTACCAGACAGAACTGACCAAAAGGGAAGGACATGTTGCATGTGGAAGGTAACAGGAGGTCAGTAGGCTGGTGTTGCTGTAGGAGGTAGATGGGCTCCAGGTTAGGCATTTACAACTGGCCTCCTGTTTACATTTCATGGGGCATGAAGAAGTGGGCTCCAGGCGGGATACTTAAAACTTAGCATTTCTTGAGCCGAGAGATGGGTGGGTTCCAGCTAAGGCATTTACAGTCATCCTTCTGTTTGCCCTCCGAAATGGAAGTGACAACAGAAACAGGGTAAAGAGCCAGTGTTGGTCTCTTACAAATAACTTAAGGTAACAGTCATGGCAAGGACCCAGAGGGGTGAAACCGTAAAGAATTAAGGGATCTCCACTCCCCCCTCTTTTTGGACAAGGGAGACACTATACTTTTGTAGAAAGGCTCCTTGTGGATCTAAAGTCAAGAGATACTGCCAGGCCGTAATGAACCTTGCTCCTCTCAGAACCTGCACTTTGAGATCCATGAGGGGTGCATGTGTACCCAGGGGAGGGTCCCAGGTAGCTCAGGTGGGGGAAGAGAAAGCAGATGATTGCCCAGAAGGAAGACAAAGGCCCGGCAGAAATGCCTCTTTTCCGTGCCCCTCGTCACTAGGGGAGACACCCAAACCCTTTCTCTCTGGGGGTGCGTCCCTGCCTTGCTTCTGTCTTAACTGTTGTGGGATGGGCTCGGGTTGGAAAAGAATTTCCAGACATGAGACAGAATGAGAGGGAAATAAAGTTTATTAGAGTGGGAGACCCTGTTAGAACAGCGGGCCAGCTCAAGGGAGAACTGACGTTGGTCCACTTTTATAGCCAGGGTCCAGGGAGCGATGTGGGGGTCTTGCAGGTCATTGGCTGATTGGATGAGGCTCGTCTACTGGGTGGGGGAAGAGTAAGGCAGATACCTCCTCCCTGTGGGATGACAGGGAGACAGGTTATACTGCTCAGGAGGACCTGAAATCCATTAACAGTTACAGCATGGAGGAGGAAAGGATGATAAGGGTCTGGTTTTTCCATTCCTGCATTCCAGGACCCTCCTCAGTTTCTTCTGCTCCTTCGTCCTTGGGTCACCACGTTAAAACGTTTCTCTGAGTGCTGTCCCACTTGTGCTCTGTCTCTAGTGATAAATTTGTACCTGCATTTACACTTTCGGCCTCCATAATAAATGCATTTGTCACTGGGGGCTAGGATTCCTGATCTAGCTTCATGCCCCCACTCGCTGCTGCCTCGCCAAGATCAGTATGACTTCCATGTTTCTATTTTGCCAAAATAGAGAATGTAGGGAAAGGAATAGCTTTGGTAATGTAGGTGAAGAGCACCCCAATGGGGCATGTTAGGCTTGAGTAGCCTGTGAGAAATTCAAGTGATCCTATAGGCGTGAAGTTCAGAGAAGTCTAAGCTAAAGATCTTCTGTATTTCACGAATTCTACTGTGTATATTTTCCCACATTTAAAAATCTCTGAAATAGAGATATTTCTTACATTTGATTGTATCTCATAATTATTTAGCAGTGGGTTTGTTTCTTAGCACTAAGAATAACTAAGATAGGATAATGAGGTGTATTATACTTGTAGTATCTTTGATGAAAAAGTGTTATTGGTAGTTTGTTATTGGTAGACTTTTACTTTACAAAAGTCTTCCCCCCCCCCCCCCCAGACAAGTTGTACAGCATGCAAAATCCTAATTCTCTCACCAGGAATCACACCCTTGCCCCCCCTACAGTGTAAGTGCAAAGTCCCAACCACTAGACTGCCAGGAAATTCCCTACAAAGTCTTATTAATACTACCAACTGCAAAGGAAGGTACCCAGATTTGCGTGTTGAAGGAGAGAAAGGGAAATTTAATATTCTTCCTTCTCACCCTGAAGCAGCTTGTACCAGTCATTCAGATTGTATGTAAGAAAGAACTTTTTTTAAGCTAGGCCCTCATTAAAGGCTTTGACGGATCCTCCTGAAATTAGGCCAGCAGGTATTTACCTCTTTTCCAGGTAAAATTCAGGAATTCTCTGCGTGGAGCACCTCCTGATCAGCCAGAGTTTGTTCTGCAGCTGGCTTAAATCACAGGGACTATGGTGAGGGCCAGGAGATTACTGTAACATTTCAAGGATATAACCAGTGGTTCTCAACTTTAGCCACACTAAATTTCTTCTCACTGGAATTTCTTGGGCATTTCAAAATAACATAGGTGCCTGAGTCCCACACCAGAGATCTTGCATTCATTACAGAATCTACCTAGAGCATTCCTAGGCATGTTATATTAAAAAAAATTCCTAGGTGATTTTAATGTTCAGACAAAGTTGAGAACCACTACTGTAGTACAAGCCTGGGGTGCCACCCAAATTATTGGCTGAGACAGAGTGAAGACTTTCTCAGAAAGTCTCAGAAATACTCCTGACCACAGTCTACGCTTATTGTCAGAGATTACAGACTTCAAAGGGAGAGCGAAGAAAGAAAACATTTTATGGACAGTAACATTTGCACGGCTCCCAGTTCCTAAAGAAAGGCAGGATTGGCAGAGGAGAATGATCTGTGACAATCACTTGAATATATACCTCCAGCTATGGAAAAATACACATACACATACTGTTTGTAATTGCAAAATATTGGAAACCACCTAAGTCTTCATGGGCTTTCATGATAACTCAGATGGTAAAGAATCAACCTGCAATACAGGAGACCTGGGTTTGATCCCTGGGTTGAGAAGATCCCCTGGAGAAGGGAATTGCATCCCACTCCGGTATTCTTGCCTGG